AATTTGGTTGTAAGTTTCAACTATGATTCTAATTGTACTCAGTCTACTTGGAGATCAGTAAGGATTCTTGCCATCAAAGCCATCATGATCACCATTCTTCAATTTAAACTCCTTTAAATATGAACTCATAGCAAATCCAAGATCCAATTGTAATTTGGCCTTGAATTAATACGCTTGTGATTTTTTTTTTTTTTAATCTTCAATTTTCAAATCCAAATAGTGATTAAAATCACTAAGAGGGGAATTCTACTACACCAATTAGCTCACCTCCATCTTCTAGAAATCATCATTAATTTAAAAATTAAACTTTATATTTTTAATCCATTTAAATTACAGCATGAAATTTAAGCTTTAAAAAAATCTTAAAAATTAAATAGAAAGATAGAGCAATTAGACATAAAAGATTTTCTAACCATAGTCAAATTAGGAATTCGCCTTGGAGTTGAAAACTAAGATTGTGGATTAATTCAAGATATAATTTTTAGAACTTAGAAGAGAAATTCTAATAAAATTGTAATTTTAGTACTAAAAGAGAATTTAAACTAGATCCAAAAAAAATAATCATAGACCTTCTAAGTTTATTATTTTTTGACTTTTTAACAATCATTCAATCTAATAATTAAGAAGTATCTACCTAATTAATAACCTAAAATTACAAATAAAATCACAATTAACTAAAAAATAATTTTGATCCATAAGTTAATCATATTAATATTAAAATTAGTAAAAATATGTTAAGAATCACAAAAGTGATTATAAATAACCATTTGAGCTATTAATTATGTTTACGCTTTTGTAATTTTCATCTATTATAAGTTATGCTTAAAGGCTATAATATCCAAAATTAATAATTTAAATTCATCAAACTACAATAGGAAAATATTTGTAATTAATTGAGAGAAATTAGACAGTAGATAAAAGTTAGAGATTTAACTTTTAGATTTGAATCAAAGGTTTGGCCAAAAATTATTAAAAATAGAAGTTTTTCTAATCATATTTACTACATCATGTAAACCAAATATTACCTCAAAGATTGCATGTTGTAAGGATTTACAACATAAAAAATTAGCAACCATTTGTATATACTAATAAAACTTAGAAGTTGTTCTATTTAACAAACTAATACAAGAGCCTCCAATATAGGTTGCCATGAGTATAGACTCTTTTAAGAGTAAGACCTATGGAAGTTATAATTATTTTGACTTGAATGTCTAGAATTAGAATAGACATCAACTTGTTAATCAACTACATAACAAAATAACAATCCTAGCCAAATATATGGGCGTGCCACTCATACAAACAAATTTTAAAAGATCGCCTCAATATTTGATGCTACATGTATTGTATTTTGATGCTAGTGTGAATTTTTTTAATGCAATTTTTTATCACAATATATGATAAACAATTACTACAGATATTACAAAAGAATCAAAATTCAGCATAACAAAGTATGATGTATGACTTATACAGCCTTCATTCACCGTTATATATTAATTATCATAAAGATGATGAGTGAATGATATCAAATAAGAAAAAAGATATCTAATAGCAAAACAACATGTTAATTTTAGACCTCTTACTTACTTACTTTTTTAGAAGATCCTAAAAAAATACTTTAATATTACAATGAATTAAAATTTTAATTCACTTTTAATTCACTTTTGATGATCAAATTTTATAAAAATAATAAAAAGTATAACCAATCATAAAGGATTTTTATCTTTTTTTTTTTTTTTTTATCTCTTAAGCTATTTTATATTATATATATATATATATATATATATATCTATATCTATATATATATATATATATTTATAAAGAGAGAGAAAAAAGAATAAGGTCATCTTAAATCTTCTAAACTATTTTTTTGTACTCTAATTTTTATTTAAATCTCTATATTTTCTTTGTATTTAATAATAAATATTTTATTTAATAAAATTATATCATTTTAGTCATATAATAGAGACACATTTAGTTATTATTTGATTCCTAAAGCAAGATATTTCTTTAATATAAGCCTTATATTTTTTAATTCAAAAATACTAAACCAACAAGCATAAAATTTATGTATAATTAATTAATTTTTTTATAAAAACCATACATAAGAATTCTTTATGTAAAAGTATTTATACATGATTTTTTAAGGATATTAATCAAGACAAAACTTTAAAAAGAATAAAATACTCCTTTATTACTAAAAAAAGAGAAAGTCAATAAACAAGAAATAGGTATAAGATAGAAATAAACTAAAATGGTCATTGTTAATTATAAAGAATCTAAAGAATCTTGAATTATGACTAAAATACAAGAAAAGTATTGACAAGACTAAAAGTGGTCTCAAACTTATCTCTAGATATACTAGCTATTAAGATTGTCTTGTAGAAGCTTTCTATGGATTGCAAGGCTTGTGGCCTAAGTATGAAGGTGTAGATTGTTACTAATGCAATTTTTTATAATTAAAAAACCTATAGAATAATTTTGGATATCTACATGATATATTATAATAAATGGCTATATTCACTAGTATATTTATTAGTAAGTAGAAGTAGATTAAATTATAATATTTTATTGAAAAGATTTCTAAAAACTTTTTAAGTTTAATATGTATTTATGAGTAATTAGTAGATTAATAATTTGGCCAATTTATTGGCCAAATATCACACATTTAGTCACTTTTATTATAAGTTCGCAATATAATGCACATATTGGAAACTTGCCCTACAAATTAAATATGTATCTTTTAAGTTGAACATGTGTCATATGGCCTATAGGACATTGTCACATATTTCTTTAATATATTGTATATTTGGAGGCAAGAATTAAGCCTTATTTACTCTTGTCAACATCTTTCTTATATTCCATCTTGATTCAAGACTTCCTAGTCTTTTTGCATTTGACAAGAGACATTCTAGTTCCAATTCTATATCTATCTTTTAGTTGTATACTTTCTTTATTTTGTTGATATAAGAATTTATTTTTATTTTTAGAATTTTATTACAATTTATGTCTTTAATACATATCTATAGGAATTTAAGTATCTAATTTGTGCTTAAAAATATTCCTTGATTTATTTTTTAAAGAATTATAATCTACTTACTATGTATTTATAAACTTTTATTTACTTCTATTTATTTTATTAATATAAAAATCTATTATATGGAGATTATACCATGATAAATCAAATATTTTTAATTACATAAGTAATATTATTTTTTATTTATTTATTGTAGTTAGAAAAAATTAAAATTTAATAAAAATAAAATATTTTTTTTATAAAATAAATATGATTTTTTTATTATCAACTAATATTTATTAATCTATTTATAAATTTTTAATAAATTTTATCTAATTAATGTATATATATGTAATTTATTTAAAATAGAATAAAATTAATAAATATTATAAGAAGTCACATATATTTATATTTTAAAAAATAGATATTTTCTTTTTTACAATCAATATGTTTTGACTTTTAAAGAGAATTTATTTTAAAATATTACATTATATGATTTTATTTGAAATTTTTATAGTTTATAAATTAAGTTTAAATAAAAAATATTTATGATATAATCTTTCTAGTTTTTAATTTTATTTTTCTTATATATTTATTTTAGAGCAATAATATTTTGATACCTTGTATTAAATATTTTGGTACCCCCTCCAAATGCATGGAGTGATGCCTGTGATAATACCATTGAAAACTTGTTCCCAAATTCCTAAGTTCCTAGGCTAAACTCCCACCCTTGTCATTAAGAAGAGCCTTGGGAAATACCAAAATATCTTAGCACTTTTGCTCTGCTTCTACTAAGTGTCTTTTTTATATAAAAATATACATTTACATTTATACATATGATAAAAATAATTGATTGCCTACAAAAAAACAACAGTCCAAGTCTCTAAACTTTCCTAAATTCACTTCAAATAACTTATATTTGTCTAAATATTTCAATTGCAATCACTTGGCCAATCACTATGTTCATCAAAGGTCTCATTCATACCATTAGTTGAAGCTATTTTTCTAACCAAATTTACTAGAACTCATTGTACCAATTTTTTACTTCAAAAGTAGCAAAAAGTACATACAATTTCTTTGTTGAAAATCAAAATCGGTAGGCCTGAATTTCTTTAAACTCAAGCCATACACTGTAGCCTATCTGGATTATAACTTGTTTACAAGATCAACCAACTCCTTTCCAAAACTATTGAAATTATAAGAAGCCCTAATACTTGGGCACAAATTTAATCAAGAATTGCCAAGAAGGAACAATTTGATGGAGCTCAGGTGAAAATTGTGGTACAATATATCCCTTAACATGTCCTCCAAATCTGCAATAGTTATGACAAAACTGGCAAACAGGGGAGGACATTGGAAAATGGGCACACAGGGCATGACCCACAGTGAAATATCTTCATAGCATTTGTACACGGAAGACAAGGGTGCTGTTAAAGATCCCATAGAAAGACAATACAGAAAAGAAATGAAAATAAAAGAAAGGCTACACGAGAAAACCCCGAGATAAACCCAAAGTAAAGGAATCGAAAGAACAAGAAAAAGACGAAGAGAGAGAGAGAGATTCTGCATAAAAGAACCCCACGAAAAGTCTCTCGAAGAAACCCTGGAATAAGATCCATGAGAAAACCCGAATAACTTTCATGAGAAAGCCTTAATAAAAAATAAAAGGGCTACATGACAAACCCTAAAAAAGGGTGCACGAGAAAACCCTAAAATCATGGGGTAGTGTTTCCTGATCGCAGTGCAGGGCTCATTCAAGGCTATGAAGCTTTCTGCAGGTCTGCTCCGCGGAGCGCGTTTCAACCTTCGAGGTCACAATGATTGGAATTGATGAGGAGGAGGATCTGAGCAGCGCATGGCGCAGGCTGTGTGCTGCAGGGTGGAAGACGCAGAGCAGAGCGATTGAGACAAAGGGACAGACAATGAGAGCGAGAGAGAGAGCGAGGTCTCAGGAACTTAAAAACAGCGCTCAGCTTATGAGCTTTCGTGTTCTTCGTTTCTCCGCTGTCAGTAAATCGTGAGGATGTGGACTCAAAGACACTGAAACCAATGACTGTCGAAGCTTCTTACGAGAATTTCAACCTCGTCTTCAATGGTTGGCGATTTCGCTTGGGTGCAACACAGGGGTGAGCCTCACGCGGTGATAAATATGTTTCTTTATTGGAGTACACGAGACTCAGTTGCCATGGTTGGTTTAGTGGTAACCTGACGGCTGTTCTAGTATCAGGTTTGGTATGGACGAAAACCGCACCGGGCAGTCTGTAACCTGACTCAGCATGCTACTGCTTTAGTTTTGAGGGTATGAAGATCAAGGTCCTTCAACTTGTACGGTTACACAATCAGCAATGATAAAGCAAAGAAGAATCCGCGACTAGCCGGTGAACAGTGATACGTATGATCGCGGTAAGTTGCTTCTATTTCTGTTCCTTGGCTCAACGTCCACATTCTCAGAATGTCCGCAGAGGGCTGCACGATAGCCACGTCGACGACAATGGTCTTGACGAGAAAAAGTGGATAATAGCGTGCAATGTATCCGATCGAAAAAAGGATAAACGGTCATCAATGTAGCGAAAGTAGTATTTTCTAAGGGATTGAGGGCCAGCAACACAGGAAGTAACGGCCCGGGAATCGATTGTAGTAAGACTGTAGCATTCAGAGCAGTGGAGGATAATCGTCTTCAGCTGTTACATGAAAGCGGCTGTACATTATCCCAAAGCTACGATACTACGTGTGGTGCAACGCACAGATCCAGTACTCATTTTTAAGAGGAGCAAGGGACTGATAGGAATCAACCTGTGGCAGATCTTTCAGCAAGTGGGCAATCGCCCCACAAAAATCCACTTTATCCTCAACTAGTATTGCGGATTATCAATGCGGAAAAATCACAACGTCGGGACGAACGACGGAAGCAACTTGGCCAAGCCGACTATGCAATTGTAGGCGGAACTAGGTCATCTGTGTCATATTCGGACGATATTTGTGTGCATGGCAGCCTCCGTGCGCATGTCGGCAAATGCCATGCCGAGATTTCAGCGGCCCAATGGGCTTGCACCACGTGATTACACCTACTGCTTTATTAGGCGAGTTTTTTAAAAAGACAACGTTGCATACGGTGCACTGTCTCCACTGCCAGTGGTGACAGTGAAGCTCTATCTTCTGCCTGTAGCAACTGGATTTTAAGCCAATCAGAATGTCGGTGGTCGATCCGAATGCTTGCGAGCATTGAACTCTCGCTCTTTTCAATCATTAGAAATGTCACTAAGAACTATCGGTGAGTCGGATTGACCAATTCGTTATTGTAGCAGTTTTCAGTAGGTGATGGTCTCGTCGTTAAAGGAAGCAGTCCACTAGTTTTCTCTGCTTGCATTACACTAACCAATGAACCCTTCGACGTGTTCAAATTTTTTAGTTACTAATGTGGGCGGTTGCCACAGCTTGCAGCAATATAGCAGATCAGTAAACGCGTGGATGAGAACTAACTGCGATTTCGTAAGTGAGTTATGCTCTGCAGCATTACCCAACTTTCTTGCTTAGTTCTATTTAAGTGAGGACTACGATGACTAGGATGCTGAAAGAAAGGTTGAACTTCAACCTCTTCAATCCCCCCCTGTGTGCTTTGAAGCTGTAGAAGACGGTGAGATAAGCCGTTCTGCTTAGGTTTCACAGCATGTTGTGATTGGCTTTGTGTAATACAAGATTAAGATGCGTTCAAATCCCTCCCCTCCAGCATATTCAAAGTTGTTATAATATTTGCCTTCGTCCTGTGAGAATTCGTAAATAGACATTCTTCTTGCCACAAGGTAGCGGTGTGTGATCTGTATTCAGGACATCATACATGCTGTTCACTACGTGAATCATGCCCAACGACTGTTGACGAAGGACAGAGACTGTCAACTATCGGTACTGGTAGTCAATTCCTCAATCGCAGTCGTCAAGACACCAAGCATCACGGTCACTAATACCCATGGTGATCAACTATAAAAGGACTTCCTGGATTAAAGTTGTTCTGAATTACAACTGTGCTAGATTACTCATGTCTAACCGCAAATTCCAAGCTGACAATGGAGTTCACAGTACTCTACAAAAACGAAGAGGAAACTTAAGTTTGCTAATCAGAGATTTTCTCCGTCTTTGTCCATTCTCTGAACATAGTGACATCTTGATGAAAAGTGTCTTCCCTACTTGCCTAGCTACGTTACACCCCCAATTCACATGCTTAGAAGAGTCCTGCAAGATACCTATTACCGAGAGAGCAACTGCCTGATAGGTCACACACACTTCACAAGTTAGGCACTGATAATCTCCAGATTGGATTGGAAACATGTACTCAGACTTAAGATTAGATAACTTTGTTCAAGGTTACTTTACGCGGCGATGTAGAAATTGGGGCATGAACAGCCGCAGTGAGTTGTTCATACGACTGAACTCATCGTTCACGTGTTAATTGCATAAGGCGGTGGAGGAACCGAAGCGACATTGATTAGAGGACGGGTTGTTTGGAACCCTTTCGTCTCCTCTACATGCAAATACAACTGCAGGCATGAAAAAACGATTAAACTCACCGAACTCATGGTTACATTTCGAGGGAGGGCAAGTGCTAACCCCAGAATGCTGCCTGCGGAAGGACGCAATAGCCTCTTAGCTAGTAGACTGGTCTGGCTACTTCTGAATTCCGGTTCTTCGCGTGAATCGCGACTGAGGTGTGATCGTGTCTAGCTGTTAATAACTCACGCTCTTATTGACAGCCACTGGTGACCCCTGCATGCTTCTTGGAGTTTTGTCACAACAGTTATGAGAATGTCGATTTTGATCCAGCTACAACGCCACATATCTGCATAAGCACTGCACCGATAAGCGAGAATGAGAATTGCATCATTGCTTCAATTTGTCAGGTCCAGTGATGAACTGGAAATGACTGCAACTGCGTATATGATTCTTCATTACTCTTCGAATCTCGGTGCAGGTGCAGATGCAGATAGGTAACGTAGCAGCTATGAGCGTTCCCACATGCAGCGACTGTCGACGCAGTGATATCATGAGGTTTACGGATTTCTATTAGAGCAAGATACCATTGAATGCAGGAGAGCACCTCACAATATTAAGCAGCTGCAATGTAACGCCTCTGCATATGCACCTCACCAACCTAGTGAGGACAACTCTACTTATCTGAGGATAGCACCGACGCCGTATTCGAGAATGCTGGGTAACAAAGGCATGTGTGCAGGGAATCAGCAAGACAGAGTTTTGTTCCTATCACAACGTGGTGCAGGTGCAGATGCAGATGCATTACGATGCAGCAGAGCAAGGAGTATCACACTTCAATTCTTGGCCGTTCAGGATCGCTATCCCTCCGTGTTGGAAGTCAGAATAGTTTTTTTTTCCCGACAAGCAAGACTGTCAAAACCTCTACTTGTTTCAGTAAAACCACATGAGTGATGAGACACATTATTATTTCAATGCCTTGGAGTAATGGAAGAGCTCACTGGAAAGACAATCCCTATTCCCCCAAGAATGCGAAGCGAATTCAGGTGGCGGAGGAGGCTGCGGATTCCTTCGCATGAGAACCCATATTATCGCAGAGTGCTCAAAGAGAGAGAAAGTGCGCCGTGCACCTCGCCACCAATGGGAGGCAGGGAGATACTATGAATCTGGGCGAGAGGAACAGGTAACATCCAAAGATTACCCCAACGGTTTGTTCAGGGAAAAGATAAGATCTCCGTGACAAGCATGCCCCGACCTCAAACATGTCGATACGGGGAAGATATTTCAGCTCCGGAGTCCAATTGGGACATGTTGCACTGAATCTCAACGCAAGTGACAAAACCGAGTGCGCTAGCACGCGGTGGAGCGAATCAACCAACCCACCGACGAAAATCACGAAATGAGTGGTAGTGGGAAAGGGGCTGAGAGGAGTGGGGTGGGGTGGGCGGGTATGGAAAAACGACGAGATGAGAAGAAGTTGCCACATCTCATGCTGAGCAGGTGAGCGCATGGAATGGCGGTAGGAGCAGTGCAAGGATGGGTGGAGAAATGCAATTGGAGGGCAGTATATAAGGAGGAGGAGGATATGGTGTGATGATGGATGGACCCGCGGATCAAAGGCACTTCGGGCCCCACAATTCAACCCAGCCAGCCAGCGAGAGCCTCCGCTAGCAGACGACGTCGTTCGCCTTACAGCGCTTTTGCTTTTTGCCCTTGTGCTTTTCAGAGGCGCCTTCTTCCTCATTCAGCTAGTGGTCCTTCTGCTGGCTCCTTTTCTTTCTATTCTTCTGCTTCATCTTCCTGAGCCCAACCAAACCCGCTTCGCTGTATGCGTTATCCAGATTCATTTGCGAGCGAAATCGAACACCAGTGTGTCCCCCGAAACTACGGCCGAGACAACGGAGACGACGATGATTGGTGATGATGGGAGGTGGTCCGAGTGGGAAAAAGATATTTCCTCTCTTGCAAACTTCAATCGCCTGGTTTCCTTGATTTGCGTGCTTGAGAAAGGGGCAGCACCCACCCAATGAACGGAGGAGAGCGTCCCATGGCGTCTGGCCCTGCAAAGCTTTGCGACGATTTGTCCTCTCCCACCACCTCAACGTCACAGGACGACAACGCCGCAACGAACGACACTACCCCACCACACCACACTAAAACCTGACCCTATCCTACCCTACCTTACCATGCTATACTATACGATGCTAGTGTATGAAATACAATACGAAAGCATATCCGATTTACGTTCAAGCTCACTCCTCTGGACCCTTTCACTGACCCCTCCCCTGGATGTCTTAACCATCCATAACAATACACATCCATCCTCTTTATTCATCCATCCATATAGTGGTCTGCACCGGCAGCGTAACTAGCACAATGCTCCACACTGGTGGCAGGATCCGCCACGACACGTTGGAGTCCCAGGTTACTAGTTTTTCCTTATATCAGGCCAAGCTGGATGAATAACCCCCCCCCTCCCTCATGTTCAGTTTCCGTAAGGCAAATGGAGCTGTGAGCTACATGTGCATTCTTTTTGCTTCTTCATGGTGTTTCAATCAATATATATATATATATATATATATATGTATTTATGTATAAATTAAAATAAATACATGTTATATTTAGACAAATATTTTATTAGAAAGGTATTTAATTAAATAACTTACATACATCTTTAATGATAAATTTTTATTGTGATTTGTTTTGAATCATCATCTTGAAAATTAATTGAATAGAAAACTTAGACATACATTAGTTTTAGGTGTATGGTTAATTAAACTAATTGATAATTTTATTTTTTATTTTTTATTAAATTTGATATTAGATTCTTTAATATTATGCATGAATTTTTTAAATTTTTATATGTTAAAAAAGTATAAAAATACTTATATATATATATATATATATTAAAATTTTGGAAATTTCAAATAATTTTACCAAATTATTTATTTCATCTTGTGTAATAAGGCCATTTCTTTATTCAGGAACATCTATATTATTTTCAAAAAACTATTTTTGGTATTTTAGACATTTAGAAGATATTTTATTAAATCAAATACCACAATTTGTATCTATTTTATTTTATTTTATTTTTTAAATCTTGTGTATGAAAACTAATTTTTTAAAATTACATCATATTGTAATAGATTCTTAAAATAGACACATCAATCAAATTCTGAAGCAGTCCTTATTAGAATGTAAACATCAATAAGATTTTTTTATGCATTATTCCCTATTAGTTAAGTTTTTGAACATTATGTATTCATCAAAGAAAATTTCAACGTTTCTAAAAACTAGTCATCATTCTTAATCAAATTTATCTAAATTAACAATGTTAGAAACTTTACAACAAAATATTTAGAGCATTTTTTTACTACTAGTTAAAAGAAGTATATAGTTAATTCACAAGGAGTAATAAAATTATAGAACCTAACGGAAAATTTAAAGTAAATTTAAAGTAAGAAACTTAATTTCTCTAAGTAAAGAAATAAATATAAATAGGCAAAAAAAATTACCATTAAAGATTTAGAATCTATTAAGGATTAAAATTGACCATTAAAATTTTACTTGCAATCATAAGTGTTAAAAAATCTAAAAATTATAATATTTCAAATCTTATTTTTGTCTTATTTTTAATCTAGCCATAACTAATTTTAAATTTTAAAAAATAATATATGTATATATATGTATGTATATGTATATATATATATATATATATATATATATATATTAAAATTAGATAAAATATCTTAATATGTTTTAAACTACATATTTTTTTATAAAAGATACAAAAAAATGGTTATATAAATTAGTACAAGTAACATATTAGTTATTTATTTATACATTATTTTTTATAATTTCAAAATATAAAAGAATTAAAATTTAAGTAATATTATTATAGTTGAATAGAAAAGACATTAATAATTTATTTATTTTATAATTTTAAAATATTATTTAAAAATATTAATAAAAAAATTAATTATACAATTTTTTAAAAAAAAACTTGAAATAAAAAATAAAAATAATTTTAAACTATTTTTAAATTAAATAAATATTATATTAATATAAACTTATTACAAAAAGATTAACTCTAAAAATATTAAATAAGAAAGAATAGTAGGTTATCCAATCATCTCCTAATTTAGATTATAATTATGTTTTAGCTTCAAAAATAAAAACCAAAAAAATCAATTTATAAGGTGAATATATTTTATTTCAAAGTTCTTTGGATCAT